CCCCAAAACCCCAAAACCCCAAAACCCCAAAACCCCAAATTGGAATTTACTAATTGAAAATCATTATTTTCTTAGTGGCCTGATGTTCAACGATCGCCTCATTTTCTTTTTCCTCGGGTTCTTATTTGGAGACTTGTTTAAGGTGCTTAAAAGTCTCTGGTTGTTGGAATATCTGTGGTTTCTGTTCACCTTAGGACTTTTAGCAACCTTTTGAATAAATTTAACACGTTTTTGGGGTGTGTCGGTGGTACTAACCATGTCATCATCATCCTTCTCACTGAAATTACTTGCTATAGATTGACATTTCTTTCTAATTTTATTAACTTGTTCTTTAATAACCCTGGTGCTCATTATTCCTAGCTTGCTCCGCTCAAACTTCAAGCTGTAGGTATATGTCGGCTGGTTTTGGTTTTGAAAACTTATCCTCTTCTTGGTACCCTTCTTCATATGAGGGTTCTTGTTAAGGATAGAAGGTAACACCAGAGGTTGCTTCTTTTTTGCATCGGAGTATTTAGTGCTATCCTCTATTTCCTTTTCTTCTTCAATTATAATACTGTTCTCTTTTGGGTTTGTATTCTCAATTTCTTCAAGTTGTATTGACCTTTGGCTGCGATTACTCTTTGTGCTAGAGTACTCCATTCGACTAAGGAAGGAGTTTTTCCTATAAATAGAAGAATTAGATGTCTGAGTCAGTTGTCAAAATTCCGATATATTAAGTACATCTTAGTTTGCCGCCTGTTGTAATATAATCAATTAAAATTATAGGAGGATTAATTTTGATGAGCTTACCTTGACCTTGTTTCAAAGTTCCTCCTCTTGACCTTCTTCTTTTTCTTGATATTCTGAGGTTTGACAATCTTCACAGACAAACGTTGGTTATCCCTCTTCCCCCTTTGCCTGGCAGTTTTAAACAAACTCTTAATTTGCTTAATCTGATTGAGTGGTCGGGCAATTTTCGGAAGGGAGATTGAACTATTACCTTTCGACTTCTTCCTCCAAAAGTTACTCCCTCTGGTTGAATTCAGAATGGATTTATTTCCTCTTCGTGGGTTTGAGTACAATCCTAAACTCAGGAGATTTAGTCTTGGCTTTAGTTCTCTTATTAGCATTCCTTCTTTCCATTATTAGTTAATTTTGCTATTACAATTAATAGATTTATTTTGGGGTTTTGGGGTTTTGGGGTTTTGGGGTTTTGGGGTTTTGGGG